ATAATAATAATAATAATAATAATAATAATAATTTAAAAAAGTATAATTGTTTTATTTTTTATATTGAAATTTTATTTTTTAAATTTTAACTTAATATTAAAATTATTATTTTATTTATAGCTTTTGTTCTTATATTGGATTATAATTTTTTGATACATATTTTTTTAAATTTTAAAATAATATACTGTATATTATTTTATAGTTTTTGTTTTTATATTTATAAATAAAATTATCTATAAAATTTTTATATAAAGTAATAATAATAATAATTTTTTTTAAGTTAAATATACTTTATATATAATTTTTATTATAAATTAATAATTATTTATTTTAATTAATATATACATGTATACATATATATAAATAAAAAAATATATATTTAAATATATCTATTATATATAAATTATTAAAATTTTTATACTATATTATATTTTTTTTGTTATTTTAAAAATATAAAAATGATATAATAAAATATAGAAAAAAAAAACAATAATAAACATTCATTAAATAAAATTGTCAATACTTATCATATTTTTTTTAATTATTGGTAATGATATTTTTTCAAATTATACAAACTTGTTAAATTTATATTTTTTTTTGCTTCTTATATTTTTTGTTATACCTAAAACTCCTGTATAAGTATTGCAAAGTCAAGAATTGTATTGTAACTAAAAATCAATTTTTAACTTATAATGATATCAAATATTTTTACAAATAAAATTATATTTATACAAATATATATATTTAATATTTTTATATAAGTAATTTATTTAATATTATTTATTAACTATTTTTAATAATAGTTTATATATATAGATATTTAATTTAACTACAATATATTATTTTATTATTTTATATAATATATAAATAACTTATAAGTCAAGTTAAGCTTTTAAAATAATAATTTGAATTTAATTTAAATTATAAAAATAAAGCTTAAATTTAATTTCTTAAAGTTTTATATTAATTTTTTCAAAGTTTTAAATAATAATTATTATATTTATTCTTTGAAAATAATAAATATAATTTTTTTAAGAAAAAAAATCAATTGATAGAAAAAATCAATTTTAATAAGAAAAAAAAAGACTATTATAAAAGATTTATAAAAATAAATATAATGAAAAAAAAATAAAAAAAAATAAAAATAAAAAATAAAAAAAAAGAACAAAAAACAAAAAAACAAACACATGGTTCGTAGAGCGATACTTCTATCAATATGATTCAGTCTTCTGTAAAAGGACCAAAATTACTATTATATTAGTGTCAACATGTACAGTATTAAAGAAATAAAAATTACATACCAATAATTTGTATATTGTATGATTTTAATTTCTTTGCAGTCTCAATATTAGCGTCAAGGTATTTTTGAAAGCACTGAAAATAAATACTTACACCAGTATTTGATATCTTATTTGAATCTTCGAGTGTATATAGGTAATCTTGTTGAAGTGGAACTCACGATGATTCCAAGTTCATCACTTCCATATTATGTATGAGGTCCATAGCTAGTGCATCAACTTTCTTTCTTGTCAATTCACCGGTTGGGTCGTCAATAAATTCAATTGCCTTGGTTGACAAAATCTCCTTTTCGATCTAATGTGTTGTGACATTGTCAAACACATATCTACAAATTTAAAAAATATCAACAATGATTTTTCTTTCAGAGTTGTGTCTGGGAAGACTGTATCCTTGATTATATTTGATCATAATAACAAATTTCTTCAAAATGTCAATAGAATATGTCATGTAATTTCTTTTCTCGATCTGTGACTTTTTCATCTTTTTCAATCTGCAATGGTTTCATAAGACACAACTACTCGTAACCACTCTGTAAGATATGATCCTAAGCTAGATAGTCTTTTCTGATCTTGCTCATAATTTTCAATTTCATCTACTATCTTAGAGTATCTCATAGCAACAGCACTTTTGAGGAACTTCAAACCAGGTATAACTTTTATAGATAGTTTATTAATATTTGTCACATAAGAATCGGCTTATGAGGTGTTATAAGCGATTCCACTTTTCTTTTTTTTGGTTGCCACTAATCCAAAACACAATTATTGTTCTTGTGGGTGTATACTCATTACCCTAATCAAATTCTTTTCTCTTTACATTTCATTCAATTGCAGGATCAATTTCATCACCAAGTCTTTTATTGCGAGTCTTGAGGACACTCTGAAGAGTCGTTAATCGATAAAATCCTACACAAACTATTCCTTAAGAGATTTTGGGATAACCCAATTCACGTTCATTCTGAGTGTCAAAAAGATGCACACAAAATATTTTGTTTACTTTTTTTTTTTAACTAAATCACGTGCATGTCACACCAAGATGTTGCTATTTATACACAGACTGTTGTTCTTCCTTGCTTCTACCTAACCTAATTAATAGTTCGTCTTGGTTTGTCCTAGTAGGCTGAGCGAGATGGAGAACATACAACCTTTTGACTAGCCCAATAATTTGTCTTGCGGGTTATATACTAGCCTAATAGTTCGTCTTGCAGGTTATAGGTGGTATGTTCTCGATATGCTAGTTTGTACACACTGCCTTTCTTGCTTTTCCTAGTCTAATAGTTCATCTTGTGGGTGATGGTCCGTCCTGATAGGCTAAGCGAGATGGAAAACATGCCAACCTTTTGACTAGTCCAATAGTTCGTCTTGCGGATTATGTGCTAGCCTAATAGTTCGTCTTGCAGGTTATAGGTGGTATGTTCTCGATATGCTAGTTTGTACATACTGCCCTTTTTGCTTCTCCTAGCCTAATAGTTTGTCTTGTGGGTGATGGTTCCGTCTTGGTAGGCTGAGCGAGATGGAGAACATATCAACCTTTTGACTAGCCCTTGCGGATTATGTGCTAGCCTAATAGTTTGTCTTGAGGTTATAGGTGATATGTTTTCGTTATGCCAGTTTGTACATACTGCCCTTCTACCTTATATAATTAATAGTTCGTCTTGTGGGTGATAGGTCCGTCCCGGTAGGTTGAGTGAGATGGAGAACGTACCAACCTTTTGACTAGCCCAATAGTTCGTCTTGCGGGTTATGTGCTAGCCTAATAGTTTGTCTTGCAGGTTATAGGTGGTATGTCTCAATATGCTAGTTTGTACACACTGCCCTTCTTGCTTCTCCTAGCCTAATAGTTCGTCTTGCTTCTTCTAGCCTAATAGTTCGTCTTGCTTCTCCTAGCCTAATAGTTCATCTTGCTTCTCCTAACCTAATAGTTCATCTTGTGGGTGATGGGTCCGTTCTGATAGGCTGAGTGAGATGGAGAACATGCCAACCTTTTGACTAGCCCAATAGTTCGTCTTGCGGGTTATATGCTAGCCTAATAGTTCATCTTGCAGGTTATAGGTGATATGTTCTCGATATGCTAGTTTGTACACACTGCCCTTCTTGCTTCTCCTAGTCTAATAGTTCATCTTGCAGGTAATGGGTCCGTCCTGATAGGCTGAACGAGATGGAGAACATTCCAATCTTCTGACTAGCCCAATAGTTCGTCTTGCGGGTTATGTACTAGCCTAATAGTTCGTCTTGCAGGTTATAGGTGGTATGTTCTCATTATGCTAGTTTGTACACACTGCCCTTCTTGCTTCTCCTAGCCTAATAGTTCGTTTTGCGGGTAATGGGTCCGTCCTGATAGGCTGAGCGAGATGGAGAACATGCCAACCTTCTGACTAGCCCAATAGTTTGTCTTGCAAGTTATAGGTGGTATGTTCTCGTTATGCTAGTTTGTATACACTACCCTTCTTGTTTCTCCTAGCCTAATAGTTTGCCAGTAGGCTGAGCAAGATGGAAAATATACCAACCTTTTGACTAGCCAATAGTTCATATTGCAGGTTATAGGTCCGTCCCGCAACTAGGTGATAGGTTCTCATTATGCTAGTTTCAAGACAGTTTTCTTTTTCACTTGATTTCTAGATTAATATGAGTACATGTCGAATATGCAAACATTAGTAATTCTATATTATAATATTTCTAATTTTTAGGATATTTGTAAAAACTTGAAAGGAGAAATATTACAAGGAATCTGGAAAGGAAAACTATAGCAGATTATTAGTCAAGATTGACAAACTTAATGCCATAATAGTGGAGCTAGAGAGGAATAATGCAGTTTCCACTAAACTCGAATCTGAGAATATTGAACTTAAAGCTGAGATAACAAAATTAAGGTATGATATTGACAAACAGCAAACTTTCCCTTAGTCGGAGATGTTTCCAGAGGTAACAGTAATGATAAAAATAATATAGATTCGAATGCTAACACAATAAATAACAAAGCTTTTGGCAATATTCAGGTATCTGATCTGTAGCAGATCAGTTTAATAGTGAAGTATGATGAGCAGTTACCTCTGATGTAGAGGTTTATTTAATTAATCGAATAAACCAAAATATTTGATCTATCGAATAAATTTGATTGATAGTCGATTAAATTGAATAAATCGATTATGTACTTAGTGTTTCGAATAAGTCAGTTCGGGTTGACCCGATATGACTTATTTGATAGTAATTTGGGTTTTAAGTCAGGTCAATTATTGACTCAAACCCAACTCGAACTCAATCCAAAGATTATTAGGGTTATTTATAAGTTATGAAATTTGATTGGTTATTAGAATGTTTTTATAAATGTGTAATTTTTTTGTAAGATATTAATCTTTATTTTATAAGTGATTCCTATGGCAATTAAGCTTTAGCTTGAGACATTTTTTGATATGGCTGGTTTTGAATACTTGTTAACTTTCTCAACCAAATTATTTTATTTTTCTATTAGAAATTACTAGTTTCGATTTTTTTTATTAGTCCTATTAATGAAATTACAAGTATATTAAATAATTAAACAGCATTATAAGTTTATTATTTAAGGTTTGAAATTTATTTAATTAAGAATACAATAGTTTTTCTCTTTTTAAATTGTTACTAACTTATATATCACTAAATTTAATCTTGTTTTACAAGCAAATCATTCAGAATTACTATATCAAGATCATAAGCTTTCTGGTAAGCTAGAATTATTATAAAAGAAATTAATTAAAAAGATTTTGGTACCAAAGACACTGTAAAAGATTTATAAGTAAAAATAAAAAAAACATAGAAGGTTATTAAAAAAGGAATTTTTTATAGAAGCAGAAATGTTTTTACTAAATACAATTGTTTTTAATATAGTAAAAAGCTTATTGATATTCTAATATTTTGGCAGCTATTAAATATTTTGAATGGTTATTTTACAGACTAAAGACAAAAAAAAACTTGAAAAGATATATGAATTAACCTTAGAATTTATTAATTAAAACCTTGATAATCAAGCTCAAATATAATTTAAAATGTTTATTAATATTATTGGATTAATCAGATTTGTATAACTAATGAATTTGAGAAAAAAAATAATGGATTATTATTCTAGAAATGCTATAAATAATAATAAATTCAGATAAGATTGAAGTTAAACTTGAAGTTATTATAATATTTAATAAAAAGAATTCAAAAATATGAAATTGAGTTTAAGAAAAAGATAATAATAAAAATAGTATAAAAATATTAATAATATGCATATTAAGTGATATTTAAATTAAGAATAATAAATATAGAGTTTATTTAAATAAAGAAAATAAATAATTCTGAACTGCTATTAATTCAAACATTATTAAATCAAAGATTACAAATATATAGGCTATATAAAAATATCTTCATATTTATTAATATTTTTTGACTCTAGTATTTAATAATAAATAACTATTCAAATTTACCAATATATAAGAAAATGTTACAAATATTGTATAAATATTTAGAGTAGTTAGAAATACTTATAGTTGCAGAAATGAATTAAGAAATTTTTTTATAATAACAAATTCAATCCAGTTGATATATTAACAAGAAACAGAAATAATATATAAAACTTGTTAAAGTTAAAATAAGTAATTCTAAGTAATAATATATTGAATACAAAATTTGTAAACAAGAAATAGAAGAATTTGTTATAATAAAAATATTATCTAAAAAAACATAATTCAGAATATAATAATAATAAATAATAAATCTTTATCTATATAATATAATTTTTAATTTTGTTAAAACTATTTTATTTCTAATATCAATAGCAATATTTAAAGTTATAATTGATTTTGAATTATTAATACTTATACAAAATAAATATTTAAAATACACAAAAAATATAAGTTACTAAATAAATCTTAAATTTTAAAATATTAAAAATAGTATTGATTTTGTTAAGAATATCAATAAATATATTTATTATTTTGAAAAAAAACCAATAAAAAAAGATAATAATAATTATATATTATTATTTATTTAAAAAAATGTTATTAACTCAATTCTGATTTTAATAAGTTTAATCAGATTTTTTTTTTTTTTTTTTTAACGGCATTAGATGCAAATTCTTTATTGATAACAATTTATCCATTACATCAAGCATCCTTTGTAATACATGACTACA